GATCGTAAGATCTTACATTCCTACTTAAGTTATTAAAAATATAATACCCAAATTTAAGATAGGAATATATATATATATATATATATATATATATATATATATAAAGTTTAACAAGTCCTAATAGAAATTAGAAAGTTCATAAGTCACAAGACTTAATAACTAAAAACATAACAATTATAAATTCATATAAATCTTGCATTCTAGTCATTTAGGAGAGCATAAATTTCTTCTTAACAATCATCATCCATGTTATCTTCATTCTCATTAATGGCATTAGCATCTCCCACCACTCCAACTCCAATTAATTCATCTTCTTCAATAGGAGGAACATCCAAATCGTCCACAAGTGCATCACCACCACTACTAGTTCCAATATCTTGTCCAACTTCAAGTATGTCTTCATTCAAGGAATTCAAATATGAAATTTGCTCATTTTCCTCCATAATCAAAACATCATTGGGAGAAAGGTCTTCAATACCATAGTTTTTTTCTTTCCTAACTCGTTTCTTGTTCAATTTGGAATTTACCATGACATAAACTACATCATTCATGGTCTTTTGCAACAAACAATTCCTTTTCTTGGTATGGACCTAAAGGAAAAATCAATTATCATATAATAGGAAGAAGGAAATGAAATACATTATACATATACGGATATACCATTTTAAATTAAAAAATTTACCCTTTCAAAGACACTCCAATTGCACTTGCAGTCGGATGAACTACATGTCAAACTCAAATCCCAAATTGCAAATTGTTGCAATTCAGGATGTTTATCTCCATAAGATTCCCACCAGTGTGCTCGACTTTTGGTATCAAGAGCACGTTGAGCAAAAAGGTCTTTTTTTTCTTGAATCCTATCTTAACTTCCCAATCAACCTTAAAATAAGAGCGTAATGTAGTATAAGGTTAAGGTACATGTAACATGCAAAGGCCTATGTAATTGTTTTTCCCCATCTTTGATCAATAATTTCTCATAAGGGAATGTAGCTACAATTGAAAAAAAAAGTAGTTTTCAACCAAACTCTTAAGTCTATAATTTATAAAATGAAGCACATAGAATAAAAGATAATTTCCTACTCTCATCTCCTATAAAAGCATCTTGTATCTTTTTCTTTAGCTCGGTCCATTTCTTTACAAATGAACCCCATGGCTGGCTTTTCATCTGAATCCACTAATTGCAACACTTTAACTAAGGGAAAAACACCTCTCATACAATTCAGAACATGTTTCCAAAATCCCTTATCTGTAACCAAATTCTCCATAAACTTTCCATCCTTGGTCTTTGCTACTTAACTAGAAGTCCATTCTTCAGATGTGAACATTCTAGTTAATGGACCCTTATTCTCATTCAAGCATCCCAACGTTAAGTAGGAAGTAGCAAAACGAGTCAAGCCCTTTCCTTACATATATATAGTACAGATTATTACATGCCTATTTACATACCATAGCTTTTTCTTCTTCTACTTCTATAATAATTACATGGGTGGTTGGAACAAATTTACGATAGGGTTCACATGATTTGCTGGGGGTAAGTAAAAAGTAACAACTATGGGTCCATCTATCACCGTGGGAATTTCTTGATATGGAGAAAAAGTGAATGAAGACACAACTACTCCATTGAAAGTTACTGAGTTGGCTAGAGCATCAACACTCCATGTTGCGCCAGAGAAGACTGCAGATATTACTGAAGGAAAAGGAGCGGGAATCGCTGGAACATCCATCTATATTTATTTAATTATTTTTATGATTTTAATTACACAAGAAACATAAGGAGTGAGAACGATTTTCAAATAAATATTTATAATCACATCACATGCGTAGCAATAATTAATACAAAAATATATATATTAATAATGATTAACATTAAAATTTGAATTATACTTGTAGTGACTAGTCAGGATAAATGAGCATTATCATAACATCAACCAACAAAAGGATATTTCACCTTAACCAACAATAGGATATTTCACCTCCATTTCTTACTCATTTAAATCCACAAGGTAAAACTTTCAGCTACAAATAATTCAAATTTTATCTTCTATGGCCATAGAATAATATTTATCTTTAAAACGAGTCAAAGACATTTTAACAATTATATTATAATCAATCATAAAAATAATCACGCTAAATAAATTTGAGAATTTATCATTATTTAAGCTTTAATTAAATAACATATAAGTAAATAAAATATATTAAGAACAACAATTAATTAAATGACAATGATAATAATTAAACAATATAAAATATGAATATATTAATAATTATTATGGATAAAAATATTTATAAGTTAAGCAAATAAATGAGGTTAGGGGCACCTCACTAGATAAAAATAACATAATAAAATTAAAGAGATAAAGTTCTCCTCCTCTTTCTTTCTCACTTTTCTCTTTCACTCTTCGTGGCTGTTACAATGTTTGTTTTCCAGTTTTCCGTTGAGGTTCGCTATTTATAGGGGTGGTTTTTACTTCAATTACGTCGCTATTTATTGAGAGAGTTATTTTTATCTTTTCCTAATTTTAATTATTTATAAAAATATATAAGGCCATGGTAGGATTTGAACCCAGGACCCAGTACATATAGTTCTTAAGCACAACTAGTTAAACCACTGAACCATTTTATTTTATATGTTTATAACATCATAAAAATTTATAATAAGTTATTTTTCGTAGCTAATATTTATAATCTAATTAGATAGCACACATACACACACACACACACATATATATGTATATATTTAGTTTACTGAACATAAGATTTTATAAAATGAAACACTAGTATTTTAATTATACTAACTAAAATTTAAGAATTTGATTTAAAATAATAATAAATTTATAAATGTTAAGTGATTCTATTTTATTAATTAATTCATAATAATTATATAATTAGGAATAAATATTTTATAATTTTATTTCACTAAAAATGTTATAATAAAAAATATTATACTTATTCTCTTTTATATATATATATATATATATA